TGCTTTCCCACTTTCATGACAGTGCTGGTTTACTAGGCCAGCCTCTTGCTAGAGGGCTGAAAACACTGAGACAAACCTTATTACACTTCATTAAGCTGTTGGATCACCGTGACTCTGATCTGGGGTGGAAATACTCGTCTGCAGTAGTTATGGTCCAAAAATCGATATTTATTTAGGCATCCAACAGGGATGGGCTTGTTTTTCTCTACAGCAAGATGTAAAAGAACTTTTCAGTGTTTGTTCCTCATCACGCCTCTCCTATTCTATCTGCGCACCTACAGTATTTGCGTTTTCTGTGTATGCAGAGAAGGGGACGTGAATTCTGTTAGAGGCAAGTTATCGCCTGTGCAGTGTTGTGTTTCCCTTGCGTGTTTAAACAAGGAGTTCAGATGCTCAACATCTTCCTGTTTTTCGACTCTGTGACCTGCTTGGCTGTCTTACATTGTTTCTGCTCCGGTTTGCGCCGAAGGCGTCCAGCAGCCAACACCAGCTGCTGCGGAGCCTGGCCGGAGCTGGCCGCCAGGAAGTGTGCAGAGGAAGACGGCAGTATACCCCAGAGCGAGAGCCAGCACAGCTGCCCTGCCCTGCCCTGCCCTGTGGCTGTGCTGCTGCGGCGCCTCGCGTCGTTTCCTCTCATTCGGAGAGGAGCCCGCTTCTCAGACGCCCAGATAGTCGGTCACCGTGACACAAGCAGTCCAAGGAGACACAGAGACACAGAGCACATGCAAATATCAGAATGAATGACACGGCACTCACTACTCTCCTGTGTTCCTCCGCAGGATCTCAGTGTGCTGTGTGCGGTCCTTGTCAAGAGACCTGAATGGTGAAGGACAGTTTCTTAAAACACACGGCTTCCCAATAATGAACAGGAAACCATCCCAAATGCAGTGTTCACTGTTGTTGAGCTTCTCTTATTGAGCCGAATGATGCCTGTGTATTAGCTGGTATTATCGAGCTGCGCATGGGTAGGGTTGACTTCTTGTGCAGACTGGTCCGAGTTAGAAGAGGCAGCAGGAGGGAGGAGTGAGGCTGTTGGTAAATCTGTGCAGAGGGGCGTGTAGTGCAATATCATCACCACTGAGCCACATTAACATCCTGAAACTCCTGAGGGATGTTAGTCGCACTTTGTAAGCTTTTTACAGAGCTCGGGCACTTTAATAGGCCTGTGATGAAGATTTTATAGTGAAGCTTTTTACAGTATATCTTACAATAACTATGCCATACAATAAAGTTAGTTTAGCCTCGGGAATATTTTTTACAGGTTGGATACTTGTTAAAGGGAATGTGGCCTTTCTAAAGACAGTAATTGAGCTCCTCTGGCTTGGTGTGCAGCTGTGTAGACCAGGGGCACGTGGATTACACAGCACAGCCTGCAGTTTCATCATCTCAGTGCGGTGCTGTCCTAAACCTCTGCAACAGACGTCGAGCAGCAGCTTCATAGCTGAGGAAGGCCTGTGCCCCTGTTAAATCAGGTGGTCATTTTGACTTCTTTTTAGTATTTTTAGGGTAATCAAAAGGCAGCTGGTTATTATTTCATTAAAAATCTTTCCGAATGTGTGAGGAAGATTGAGTACGCCTGCCCAGGCCGAGCTACGAGCTGCAGGTGTGTAAGGAGATGGGATATCATGGAGTCAGCACCAAGAATATGTCAGAAATCAGCATTTGCCTTTTATCTGAGGCAAATCAGATGTTAAGTACATTTCTAAATTTTGGTGTTTTTGGATTACTGTACCTGAGGTGTATTTCATTAGCCTACATTTTGTTACTTGGACAGCAGCTTATACACACTTCCTGGGATCTGAAACACAATATTTCTGTTTTAGTAGATAGTTTTATTACTCTTTTTTCCAGCCCACTAGAATTCTTTTTTTATCGACTTAGTTGAAAAGGTCATAGAAATACCCTTGAGCATGTCGCATTCATTGTACATATTCACTGTCAATGCATGTGTAAAATGCTGTGTTTTAATGTAGCATATATATAAAAAAATAATCTCATCATGGAAAGACTCTGACCTGATTCGATTGTTCTGAGTAGGCAGCATTTTAATAATACCATTCTATTTTTGAATGCTCTTCAGCAGCATCACAGCTCTGGGCCTTGCAATATCTTTTGCGCCTTAGATATCCGTACCTGGTATATGACAGGAACAGAAGTCCGACGTTCCGGGAAGATTTAGATGTGGGATATGGGTGCTTTGCTTTAGGAGGTGCTTGAATTTCCTGTAAATCTTTTGTTGGCCTAAATGCAAAGACTTGGAAGCTGGTTTTACGTGCCTCCTGTTCAGCTGTGGCACGTGCGAAGCCTTCCTGCCAGGTAGGAAGACCTGAACACCTCATTATGTTGGCATGAATGGGCGGAGTGGTGTCACTGTGGCTCAGGATCTGTGCCTGTGGCTGGAAGGTTGCCGGCTCGTATCCCGCGGCTGCCAGAGGAATCCTACTCCGTTGGGCCCCTGAGCAAGCCCCTGAACCCCAACTGCTCCAGGGGCTCCGTATAAATGGCTGACCCTGCTATCTGACCCCCAGCTTCTCTCCCTGTCTGTGTGTGTGGGGGAAAAAAATCCTAATACCAGAAATTGTATATGGCCAATAACCTGATCTCTAAATCCAGATGAAGGCTCTGCCCATCTGTATCTGAGTGCTGCCCCCTGCAGGCATATTGGTAGCAAATCTTAATAGATACTTTATTGATCCCATAAGATATTAAGTATCTTAATAGATACTTTATTGATCTGGTGAGGGAAATTGCAGAAATGCACCCTTCAATGAGCAGGGTGAAAAGGGCTCTGGAAATGGGGTGTGTACACTCCAGATAAGCTTATCATGTGTGTTAGGCTCCACAGAGAAAACCACCCTCGGTGCTGATGAATCAAATCATGTTTTTATCACAATAAAGAAAGGATGATGCACGAAGTTAACAGGTTCTCACTCACTTTTTCAAACAGGACCATGGGCTTTTTTTCCTCAAGGTGAGCAAAATTTCAGTATAAAAAAAAAACATTTTTTTTTGTTATAGTTCTGAGAAAAATCGTAACAGTTTGTTGCCTAATAAGGTGTTAACAAGGTCAGAGAGTCAGACAGTCAGCTCAAGTCAGCCCTGGCAATAAACCAAGAGTCCTGTTCCCTTCATGTTGCTATGTCTGAGGATACATGAATTTCATCTCCATTTGAGAGACCTTGACTGGCCCCAAAAGTACAGTGCAGTAAAACAGTTCTTCAAGGCTTCATTCTTAATTCATAAGGAATATATTCCTTCTCGTGCCTCATTAAACCCACCCCTGTTTTTACACGGGGTATTTGTTCTGTCCCCTGTGGCATGCCTATGGTTATAGGTTCACAATTTGTGTTGTGCTGCATCCAGGTCAGGCAGGCCAGGTCACTCCAGTCACTCCCGGCCTTGTTGGTTAAGGCACAGGCTTCATTCCTGTGGTGAGGTCAGCTGCTGTCTTCCTGCAGCGCAGCCTGAGACTGCTGCACTCTAAAAACGGTGACTTTTGGCCATTATTGATCTAATTTTTACTGCAATCAAGATAATGCATTAAAAAAGTAATGCAATTTAGCAGGATCTGAGCCTAACAAAGTCGTATATTCCTTAAATAAGCAAACAAAGAGTCAATGACGCCAATCACTTATTTCAGTTAATTTTAGGTACGTCCTCAATTATACTGAAGGACGATTTGCTTGTAATAGGATTCTGTGACTGTCTTTTATTGTCGGCTTACCCATGATCCCTCACGCGGTCGGAGCAGACTTGGCATTCCAAGCCGCGGAGCCTTTGAATTTTAATGCACTTTTTCAGAGCTGATTTCAGAGCCGGGAGATTTTTTGGTTTGGGCTCGAGATAGCCTGGAATATTGAGTTATTGTATGAAGATGTGTTATTGCCTCTGTGTCTTGGAGTTGTTACTTAACTTTTTAGTTGTTATTTTTTAAATGGGATTATTTTGGAGGAATGAGCAAAACTGCCTTGTGATCTGGGAAAAAAAAGTTGATGTGCTGTCAGAGTTCTGGCAGTAATTCTAAATATCTAATTCTGAATGATTTAAAAGCGGTTTCATTTCCAGTACTATTCAATAATCATTTGAAGTTGCAACAATAAACAGCTGCTCTCAGATGATGTTAGATTTGTCTGGCAGCAGGAGAAGAGCTGTGTCAGTAAATCAGAAGGGGAATTCACTGCGTTATCTGCTTTCTGGCTTTTCTGATTCATTAGCATGTTTGTAACTCACAGTGGCACCGGCCTCCTGCACTAGTCCTCTGTGCCTTGAGTAGGAGGAGAACCGAGGGGCCGAGGAAGAAGGTTTCCTCTGTGCTGTGCAGCCTGTCAGCTCAGGATGACTCAGCGCCGTGTGTGACTGATGACTCAGCTCTGTGTGGTCCGGGGCTTCAGAACTGCAGCGCTGCTGTGCAGATCCTGTTTGCTAAATGAACTGATCTGTCCGAGCCCGTTTCAGTGACACGCCGTGCTTTGCCATTATCTGGTAAGCTTTCTGACGAGTTGCCTCTAGGGCCAAGGCATTCTGGCAGAAAGAACTTCCAAAGCTGTAAATATTGGATTTAAATTCTGGATATTTACAATATAAATCAGAACAGCCTTGGAACACCAACAGGACATCAGTTATAGTACCAAAGCCTGGTGTGTTTCAGTGTCCTGCAGCACTGATTATATTTAGAAGAAATCAATTTTTTAATATGAAAAGGTCACGTGTATATAAAAATCTTTGCAATACATACTTCTGCAATTTCAAATGATAAATTACCAATCTGCAGTCTTCTGACATACACTATTACTTTAATTTAAATCTTGATTGTCATTTAATAAAAAAAACCTACTTTAAATTGCTAGATTTAGGCACCTACATGTAAGCGAACTTTTATAGCATCACCAGTAGCAATATCAGTTCCAGCAACTTTAGGAATAATAGAAAAACCACCCTGCATTTGCAGAAAAAATTATCGTGTAATTTGGTTTCAGTCTTGGAAAATGACACCACTGTAGAGCCATGAGGCTTAATGGGCCATTCGAATGAATCCGTCACTCCTGTGGGATGAACCACAGTTACATCATAAGATATACGGTGCCTTCAGAATATATTTATCCCCTTGGGTTTTTCTTCACAGTATATATTTCAAACTCAAATAGAAGCACGTTTATATGGAAGTCACTATCACAGATCTACACTAATTGCTCTATAATGTCAGAGTAGAAAAGAAGTTCTGGAATTCTTTTACATTCACTGTTTAAAGTGCACACGGCTCATCAGTGCTTGCTCATTGCAACATGAAGCATGGTGGTGGCAGCATGGTCTTCTGGGGCTGCTTTTCAGCAGCAGAACTGGGGGTGCTTGTTGGGATACAGGGAACAATGGAGCCAAGCACAGGCAAACCCTTTAGGGGAACCTCTTTCAGTCAGCAGAAGACCCTAGACTGGGACAAAGCTCCACATTTTAACCCGACCCTGAGCACATGGCCAAAGCAACACTGGAACAGCTTCAGAACAAGAAGGTGAATGTCCTTGAGTGGCCCAACCAAAGCCCAGGCTTGAATCTCATTGAGAATCTGTGAAGGGCCTAAAAGATTAGAATTCACCAACACCCCCCCACCCCCAATCTGGACAGAGCTTGAGCAAAACTGCAGGGAGGAATGAGAGTGAAAAGCCCCAAATCCAGATGTGCCAAGATGATATTTTGTAGGAATTACAGCTCTCACTGATGAAGGTGAATACTTCAGTAAACAAGATACTTCTGTTTTCCATTTTTCCTCCTCCCAGCATGTTTGTGTGTGCCCCTCACTAGCTCTTCCAGACCACTCCACACGTTTAGTACATTTTCACAACTGCCTTTAATGCATTTGCTAATTATCTGGGAGATCCTGTGCTGAAGCTGGTAGCAGTAAATTCCTCTGGGAAATGACATGCTCAGATACTTACATTTCTCTAATGTTGATCGCTTTCAGCAACCTGCCTTCTTAGTGAGCACGGTAAAGACCAGGGCATTCAGTATTTTTCTTTTTCCCCAATGGCTAATTTTTACTCACAGCGGATGTTTCTTTCTGAGATTAATTCTTTACAGTAGAACAAAATATGATTGCATTACACTGAACAGAATCAGAATAGAAGATAAAATATTTTTCTGGCTCAAACGTTTTGTCCACAAGGACGACTTGGCATCCCTAAACTAGAATGTTTCAATGAGTGCAAATGCCTTTGGTATGTCACACTGTAGAGAGCAGGTTAGACTGTATCTTGCTGGTGAGTGAAATGTAACAGATGTTGTAGCCCCTTTGGAAGTCAGGGCCTGCAGGTCTGTAGCGTGCATGAACACTGTGCAGCTGTGTGGTAATGCAACTGTGCAACAACAGCTGTGCCCCAAGGCAGCCAGCGCACTGATGCAAGAGCTTAAACAGCCAGTGGGCACTGCAGGGAGGTTGTGCTCTTTCAGGCTTGTGTAGGGCTGAGCAGGGGTTGGTAGGAGCCCAGGAGCTGGTCGCCCACCTGACCATGAGGATGTCCCGGAAAGAGAGCAGGCGTGTGGGAGGAAGATGGGACTGAGAACAGCAACAGAGGGTCACCTGGACTGAGATTCCTGCTACCTAACATGAGCTCGACCTGTGGCAGCATTTTTTTCACTGCGTCCTGTAGTTATCGTGGGGCTCCGTGTGCACCAGCTGAGCAGACCCAGAGGATCTGCTCTCTAGGGGGTAATTTCTGTAAATAAGACAAATGCAATGTTGGGATAAAAATTATTATTAATAAATTATTATTGCCAGAAGCTATATCTCTCTGCAGCTCGCCACTGGCAGCCCACTGAAGCTCAACAGTTGTGAGCCCGCCCAGTACCTGGAGGGGAGACCTCCTGGGAAATGAAATGGAGTCCCCAGTAATTTTGAATCTGCCCTAGTACAGAGACTCTTGCTGTTTTACTGTTTGAGATGAGCCTTGGCTATAGATCATTGCATCTTATCCACTTAAGCTAATTGTCCATAAGACTAAACTGGCACAGAAGATGATGTCTTCCTCCGGGGAGCCCTGTAGTCTTTAGTGCAGGTCCTGAATTAATTTAAGAGGATGATGACAGACTGCGATTGTGCAGGTGTGCTGACAGCATATTGATAAATCGCATCTTATTATTCTCTCAGCATGTATTCTTCTGCTCCTGTTGTAATTTAGGAGATGTGAACTAACCTGTCCTTGAAGGAACAAGTAATAGGTTTATTCCATGCTGAAAAGAGAAGTAAGAAAACAATGTTTCGGCCGTGGAGCCTTCTTCAGGTTGACACACCATGGTTATTCCATTAATATTCGCATGGCTTTGACACAGTTTCCTATGGTTTCATCATGTTCTGAATTTTTTTTGCCATTCTTTTGCCATTTAACTGTGCTTTACCTCACTGTGATTTTTTTTACTTTTACTGTGATCCATGTGCCAGTCCAGCTGCAGTAGTGCTGCTGGACTGAGATCTCTGCTGCTACATTTGGATCCTCACTGCAGAGACTGAGAAGCTTCAGCTACAGCATAGCGAAACTGTAGCTGTGTGTTTTAAGCTGCACAATGGGAAAGCCTCTGGTGAAGAGTTTTAGGTAGAACTAGATTACTGTGAACAAACTACCTCAATAAATTCAAGTCAGATTTCATAACTACATAATATAATTGGTGACCTGTAAGAGACACTTAAGAAATCAGTAAGAAAAGAGCTGCTAGCAAATAAGTTAACTCAGGAGCCACACTGCTCACTTGGGAACTCAGCATGGGATTTCATCCAACTGGTCTTGAAAGAACAAAGACATAAGAACAACTGCTAATGAGAGGAGGCCGTTGAGCCCATCGAGCCAGTTTGGTAGTTAAGAGTTGATTCCACATGGTTTCCACTTGCGTCTTCTGGGTCGTGTTTCTCTGTTGATTCTGAGGAAGCCTGTTGGGTGGATTTTGAAAACTGATCCATTTTCACCTTTCTGTGAGTCCGCTGCTTTTCGAACCCGGGGCTTGGTGTCGCTTTCTGATTGGAAGCGAGGTCGTGCTTCTGTCAGCTATGGGGTTTGGAGCGTGTGATGGGCAGGGTGGTCAAAGTTTGGATTTAATCCAGATGTAGTGTTCCAGTGAAAACAAACGAAAGGGAAAATGTAGAAAAGGTCAAAGCAGAATGTTGACAGCTGAAGGGTCTTCTTTCCTTAGAAAGGAAGAATCTAGCCTTCAGCAGAGGTGCAATGGTTTAGTTACCCAATTCTTTATTAAAACATAGTTTAATTATTGAATGAAACAATGTATGGACATGCCAAGGAACAAGTAATAGGTTTATTCCATGCTGAAAAGAGAAGAAAGAAAACACGTTTCGGCTGAGATGTTTTCTTTCTTCTCTTTTCAGCATGGAATAAACCTGTTACTTGTTCCTTGGCAGCCTACACTTGCTGATGCAGCTCTCCACCTGAACTACTTCCTTATATAGACATGGATATTTTTTCCAAACTGTAAGTTTGATTTCCACACGAAGTGTGATCTCGAAATGTAACTACAGGTCTGAAGGTGTTTTGTTCTCTCTCTTGACAAAATGTACATGCTGAGACGATTAATCCTGGAGAGCTGATTCCTGTACGGTGTTAATCTCTGAAGTGGTTGGTGCAGATCATTAGTCAGCATGCTTTGGCAGTGACAAAGCTAGTTTTGTAAATCCCACTTAAAAAAGCAAGCACTAATTAACGGGTGGCCGTGCATGTGAGAAATCACTAATTGCAGCTGCCTGTAGCAATCGTCAAAGAGCGAGCTGAGGAGAGCAGAGGGACAGCTTTCGGAAAGAAGATGGATGAACAACTTCTCTGGTTCATTTCATCGGGAAACACAAGGCACGAGGGCTTTCTTTATGAGGATAAGCCTCATTCATCCCAGTTCAGCCTATTCACACATTGGGAAATATTGGCTCCCTCATGCTTAATGTGGAATCGGGGAATGATGTGTCAAACTAAAATAAAATCAGTTGGGGGTGGGGTGGAGTTCCAGTGTAAATGTTATATGTTGAGTCTGCAAGAGACTGTGAAATAGTGCCAATGGCTGTACAGTTGGGATCGCTATCCTTGTTGCTGCTGCTTTGCCTCCGATTCTTCTGGGAAGAGGTCCTGCTGGAGTAGGGCCCAGAGCCATGTTCCGACAGGGTTTAATTAGTGTGTGGTCGCTCTGCTGTTCCATTATTGACAGCTGGTGGCTAGTATGGGCTCCTGCTCCCCTGTGACCCGAAGTGGATGACGAGGTTAGAAAATGGGTGGGTGGTTCACCTCCGCTCCTACCTGCATTGGTGTTGGCCCGTCACCAGGTCTGTGAATTTCCTCCATTAACTCACCTCCTACTTGAGAACGTGAAGTTTATAGTCGACTGTCCTTGTCCCATATGGGTCATCTAGGGTAGAGATAGCTGGTAGCTCCTCTTCGCGGGGGTGTTAACGACCGCGCGTCGCCCCTCTGGATGGGTTTCCTGGTGACAGACGCGGGTCCCGTGAGCCGGCTGGCCTTCGCCCGGGGGGGGGCAGTGGAAGACGGTAGTTGACCGCCTGGTTGCTCTCGCTCTCTCCCCCGCAGACTACCAGCGGCTGATGACGGTGGCCGAGGGCGTCACGACTCTGCTCTTCCCCTTCCAGTGGCAGCACGTGTACGTGCCCATCCTGCCCGCCTCGCTGCTGCACTTCCTGGATGCCCCGGTCCCCTACCTGATGGGCCTGCAGTCCAAGGAGGGGACAGACCGATCCAAGCTGGAGCTGCCCCAGGAGGTACCCTGCCCCTGCCCCTGCCTCTAGGCACAGTGAGCTGTTCCTTGCTGGTTTCCACCCGGACTGTTTCTGGACCCTTTGAACGCCTCTGTGTGGGGATTCAGGGCATTAACCCACTACCCTTCATCCTCAGGGGGAACCGCTCCCCCGACTCGCTCCCCTGTTGACACAGGAGAGGCGTGTCCCTCACCGATGGCACCGCAAGCCTGCAGATGCCCAGGGGGCCACAGGGGGCGCTGTGCTGCTGAGATCTGAGAGACCGCCCTCTCCTCTGCTTGGGCAAAACCGGTTCACAGTGGGCAAGTGACATGACCCAGTCTCGAACCCGCAACATTAGATTAGACAGCTTAGTAAACACCTGTCACCTGAGCCATTGGGGAGAGGAATGTCCGTTTCTTTAGTCCCAGGCATTTCCATGACTGCCTGGAACCTCACAAGAGTCAAGAGGGAGCAAGGGAATCTATTTAAAGAGCTGGGGGAGCTGATATGTGTGTTAGATGTGATCCTAACTGACCACCTTTTATTGTCAAGCCTCTCTTACATCAGGCCCAGAAACGCTTCCAGTATGAAGGCCGGGCTCTGATAACTCACATTTTATCTGCCCACTAACCACTTCTCTTTCTCAAGCAGTGGAAGAACATGGTATTGACTTATTATTGATTACGTCCCTAAACAACAGGGGCAAAAAAAAGTTACCAAAGGTCAAAGGAATTTAGCCATTATGTAAATAACAAACTCTGCTAAAACTCTGCTACTATGGTACCAGGTATGAAGATAATGCCGATAGAAGTCTTAACTCTCAGCTTTGTTTTGGTTGTCTGGAAACACAACAGCATCGAGCTCCAATTGATAAACCTTCCCCCTCTTCTGCACTGGCCAGCACTGTGTTCTTCTCCACACTCTGATAGACAGGGGGCGCGGGTAAGGGCAAGACTGGGAGATGTGTGATCACACTGGCAAGAGAATGATGGAGGGTGAAGATCGTGCAAAAACCACCGCAGGTTGTGGTCTAATTACAGGAGGCTGTAATCATCGGTGCTCTCTGAGCACTAATATTTCTGGATGGCAGAGGGGTCCTCAGCTTTCAAGCTTTGTGGGTCTGTGTGATCTTAAGCCCCATCCTGAACACAACCAACTTCTGACTGGAACTGTGGCCAAGCAACTCGCTTGTGTGTGAGAGAGATAACATTCTAATGAGCTAATCTCCGCAGGCACACGTTGAATTATAATTGTCAGAGCAGCTCTCCTGCGATCAAGGGATGGGGCTGTTGGTTCCATGAGCACTGCTGTCGAAATCCTTTTTTTTGGTTTCTGTTCAGATCGCTCCATGCTGAATTACAGTTTTAGGAAAAAGCCTTTGAAGTCTTGGTGCCCCAGGAGAGAACGGACAAGGGTTCTTAGCTGAGCAGGGCTGCAGGGGATTTGGACTCTTGCAAGAGAGGCAAAGCCAGGGCAGGACAGGAGAGTCTGCACTGCTGTGCTTTCTGACCAGCCAGGATCAGCACGCTAACATGTTTAAATATTACTGAGTCGTTGTTGTTTGTATTGATCCAGACCTGACTGCAGTATTCATGTATAGATTCATAATGGACTCATTCTGCCTGCAGGGGTTTGTGATGTTTTTAGTCATGCCTGCAGCTTTAATTTCGTTTCCGCACAGTAAAAAGCAGACAGGCTGATCTAGGGAATTTCCGACACTATGAAAAGCAGACTCCTTATTCAAGAACCTTGGCTTAACCTTGGAAGAACAAAATATTTCAAATGCTTTTTACTCTCCCTCTGGTCCTGCCTGCTGCTCGGCTCCACACCTGACCTTCCACACTGCTGCCTCTAGCTCTTGGCACCGGGCACTGGGTAAAAACAAGCAAATGGAGTAAAACTGATACAGGCATTGTGTAAATCATTGATCGCTTCCAAAGCACTGCCTGTGCACTGCGCTTCTGTGTCACAGCTTTTATCTTTTGAAAGGATTACATAACAGAGGCAACCCAGATACAGGGCTGTGCAAAACAAAATGCCTCTTCAGTAGTGAATGTGATGCTTGTCTAAGGTATAAACCTTGAAGAGCAGCTGCACTGGTTCTGCCCTGTGTCCCCAGGGTGGCGCTGGGGGCCTCCTCACGGACAGTGATGTCACTAAGAGGCTCGCTGTTTCCTGGCCACTCGTGCTCTTTGGCGTGACCGGGAGTTGGACACTGAAGGCCGCTGGGATCGACGCGCGCCTGCTCCCCGGGCGCTGTCCACAGGCTGCGGTCTGGTGTGCGGGCTCTGTTCGGGGCTCAGGCGGGAGAGTGACTCGGGCAGCCGGTCTCCATCAGACGTGTGGCCTGGTGTCTGTCCGCTCTCCTGCCCGAGCCCGAGGGCGACGTGCGCGGTGTTCTCTGGGGCTCGGGAGAAGGGCTCACTTGTTCCATATTCGCTTTTCCTCTCCCAGTCCCGGGAACGATCCCGGCCGAGTTTCTCCAGGGTCCAGGTTTGCAGTCTGGCCTCGATGGTAGTGTACAGTAATCACTAACTTGTTCTGCCCCAGGTGGGAAATTTGCTTTGCAGACGGGTAAAAGACACATCACAAAACATGATGCGTTTTTAACGCAACATGACCCCATTAACAAATGAGACATGTACATGTATGATGAGAGAATGTATACAAATAAATCTGATGCCCTGCCTGGATGCTCAGATCCATCAGTCCCAATGGCTCCTCTGGTTTGTTACCAGTTTTAATTCTGGGGCACCTGATTATAATGCTTTGACGTAATACGCCAAGGTGATTGGTGAAATGTTTATATCTGATTTTGTTTTACACCACATTTCACTTTTCATGAATCTGCCCTGTACACAGTGTAAGCAGCTGCACTGTTTCTGTACCGGGAACCTCTGGTCTGACTGGGCCCTCAATTTATACATACAACACCAATGTGAATGTGTAATCTGTGCAAGTGCAGTAGATTTTCTGCACCGTTGGCAGGTCTGAGGCTTCATTCTGCTGTTGCCTTCACACGTGCTTATCTTGATCACAACACAGTAGATCTTTATCATGCGAGCACAATAAAATCCGAGAAGCCTCTGCAGGGAAGACTGCTGCTGATTGTCAGGCATGACTGCAGCAAGGTCTCTGCCCTGTCCAGGTGGACTGACGGAGGAGGAGACTGACCACTGCGTTGACCTTTCACAGTCTGATGGGAATGGAGTCTTGGAATCTCCTCTGGCAGCAGAGTTGTCATAAGGCCATTACATCCGACCGGGTTTGCACTGCTATGACTAACATGCAGTGCTCCGACATCGCCGAGTTTGATTCTCTGAGCTGCACTGGACTGCCTGGGAAACACGAAATCAACGCTTTCTGTGCCATATGCCACCTTATTAATCCTTGTCATGTTCCAAATGCTGTCCGTTTCTACCATGACATGTTGTGCATCTTCCTGCTGCCCTGATACTTTTGTGTTTTGTATCTTTTTAGCTAATACTGCCTGGGGGGCTCGTTAATTAACCGCTCAATTGGGATTGCCCAAGAGATGTTAAGAGCCCATTTAGAATACCTTTAGATCCTAGAATATATTTAAAAATGGGGTTCTGAGGACAAGACACCCTTTGGGACTGAAAATGAAGCTCTCTGTGTCCCTGCAGGCTAACCTGTGCTTTGTGGACATCGATAACCACTTCATCGAGCTGCCCGAGGACTTCCCGCAGTTCCCCAGCAAGCTGGAGTTCATTCAGGAGATCTCCGAGGTGCTGCTGCGCTTCGGCATCCCGCCCGAGGGCCGCCTGCACTGCAGCGACAGCGCCACCCGCCTGCAGAGCCTGGCGCTGCAGGACCTGGTCAACGACGGGAAGAACGGCAACCTGCCCGGCGACGCCCTGGCCGTGTTCGAGCTGCTGCAGGGCAACGCCACGCTGGCGCGGCTGCAGGCCCTGGCACGGCGCTCGGGGGTCACGGTGGGCCCCGTGGGGGCGCCAGGCCGCGGGGACTCCAAGGGCGGGCGCCTGCAGTGCGCCGAGGAGGAGCTGCGTGACGCCCAGCTCAACGTGCAGGTCCGGGAGGTCTTCGCCAACCGCTTCACGCAGATGTTCGCCGACTACGAGGCCTTCGTCATCCCCTGCGCGCAGGACCTGGAGTCCTGGCTCACCGGCCGCGAGCAGATGCAGAACTTCGACAAGGTGAGGCGGGGGGGTAATGGGCTCGTGCCTGTGTTCAGGACCCCAAATGGGCTCGGGTACAGGTTCCAGCAAGTCAGGTCTGCCCCCAGCAGACATCCCGGCTTCCCAGTGTCAGTGCCAGAGCCGTACAGCTTTCGATTCACATTTCAGCTGGGGCACTGGCTGACCGTAGCTGGGGGTAAGCACACAGCCGCCATGGGGAAAGAGGAAACGCCCTCATTCAGCGAGAACAAGCTTGACTTCAGGCAGGGATGTGCTTCTGCTACTCTGCTATTACCTTGTTTAAGAGTACAAGAGCAGTAGCCTGCCTGGGATGTGAGTCTAGAGCCTTAACCACTGCTCTGCCTTGCTACCAGAAGACCTCCGCAGGGCTTGATGTGCTGAATATCCATGTTCATCACTGTTGGCCTAACAGGTTGATTAGTCCAAAATGTTCTCCACAGGTACCACTGTGGTTGGAAGGGTTTGTATTGGGTGTCACTTGTACTGGTATAATCTGTAAATGAAGGAGCACTGAAGGAACTCTATGCAGTTCTGTGAAACCACTCTACCAGAGTCC